CCACCTCCATTCAGAGAATGACGCATTTAGCACTATCTGCCACAGAGGGACAAGGGCATCTTCTGTCATAAAACAAAGCGGACGTCATGGAGCCCCCGGTGTCCGTTAACAGCACAGATTCACCGCAGGGAGGAGATTGAAAGGGGGGGAGGGGGAACGGCAGGACCGGTCACATGAATGGGCCGTCACGCCTAAAACGCCTCAGTGGACCTGGCGCGATCCCCTCAGCCCCCCCCCATGCACGCACGCACCCCCGGGGCCACGAAAATGCTAATCAGCGGTTTGTTATGCCATCCCGTTTCCCTAAATCTCCCCACATCACAAGGTGCCATCGGAAGTGCCGCACAGAGCGTGGATCCAGCTCTGCCCCCCCCCCACCCCAATTCCTCCTCGTTCCTATTCTAGTGTTTCTCAGATGGTAAAACGTTGTGGTCCTCGAGCACCAGGTTTTAGAGGGTAATTAAGGCGTAAGCGGCTCTGGGTTTTAAACAGCACCGTTACAAATCGGTCTGGGTGTTCATCCTGTCATAGGCAGCAAAGACAACACACCCCAGCCTGACAGGGATGGGCAGTTAGAAGATGGATGGATGGATGGATAGATGGAGGAATGGATGGATAGATGGAGGGATGGATGGATTACCAGCAGAACTGAGTGCGAAAAGCTAATGCTGACATTCTGATTGTCAGTTCAGACACGCGTCTCACGCTGAGACATTTTTAAGAGCTGGTCTGTTCCAATCCCGGCTGCTCCACGCTGTGGTGCTTTTGTGTCAGGTAATTAACCAAAAAGCCAAGTATGACGCTGAATAAACCTGCACGGCTCCAAATCCCAAGTCTTGTCAGCCGCTTTAGATAATAAGCATTTACTTACTATTTATTACTAATAAAAAGACAGTTTTCTTGAATCTGCCGCTTCCTGGTATCTCTGTGTCTCTCATCATCAGAAGCTTTGGCTGGACCCCCCCCCCCCCCCCCCCACCCCCCGTGGCCTGCATCTTGAACAGCTGCTATCGGCCTTCCAGTATTTCGTTTCTCATTAAAATTAATTCCTCCAGAACGCCCCCATCTTTTCTCTGGGGTTGGACCAGTGAGTCGTTCGGCATGCAGGAGCTCGCCGGAGTCTGCGGTCATTGAGATCAGCTGACACAAGACCTACATCCTGTCCGGATGACCTTTCACACTTCTGGGTGTTTCTGAACTCAGGAGGGGGGTCAGAAATCCCATTATGTTTCCAGTCTGTTTTGCAGGGTAACTGCAGTTTGAGGATTTAAAAAGCTCCGGAAATTTGACTGTTTCTCGATTCGCCTTGTGTGGACGGCATCAAAAAACAACAAAAAAATTAATGAAAAACCTGCCATGATTCTACAAGCAGTTACAGCTCCCACTCTTTGCAATGGTGCTGTAATAAAAAAGGAAAATGGGGAAAAAAACTGATAGATTTTACTGGCAGTGATTACAGATGATTGTGACACCCTCTGGACAGGCAGGGGCGTCCTGAAATACCGGCGGTATCGAGCGGCGGTACCGAGCGGCGGTACCGAGCGGCGGTACGGCAGCGGGACAGAGGCGGGGGCCGCGGGCCGTACCTGTAGTCGCACCAGGGACAGTGGTAGGGCTTCTCGCCCGTGTGCACGCGTCTGTGGCGCGTCAGGTGGGACTGGGTGGTGGAGGCGAAGTTACACAGCTGGCATCTGAAGGGCTTCTCACCTGGAGCGTCATGAACACACACGTGTTACACGCCAAGCACCAGAAACACGCGTGTATCGCACACAGGTACAAATACACCAAAGGAAAAGTCGAGATGATGAGCTGATCTGATGCTGTGTAAAAAAAACATTTGCTCTGCTGTAAAGTTGATTAGTCGCTCACCGTGGAAGTGGCTTACAAAGTGTGACATTGTGAGTACGGCCTACGGTCTGCCGGCTTATGCAGACCTCCACGGAGTAGTGCTTAACGGACTGACTGACTACCCATTATAAGAGGTTCATCATCCGAGCGTAAGATATGTTAGTGTGCTTGTATGTCCCTAGCATAGCACTGCAGTATGTCCCTAGCATAGCACTGCAGTATGTCCCTAGCATAGCACTGCAGTATGTCCCTAGC